GACCCTTCGGTTGAGGTCACCACCAAGAATGACCTCTTGCAAAATCTTCACAGGTGTACAAATAAGAGTTAGAACGACTGTAGAGGATGGTTATTGGAATTCCTCAAGGTGTTCCAGGGGCCTTGCCGGAGGCGTCTGACCTCAACCTACCCAGTAACTACTTTGAAGCTAATTTGAAACCTCAGGTAGAATCGTTGCTAATGATAAAACGAAATGGGCCTTAGGTACCAAGTAATACTTTGCACTTGGGTCTCTGGTCCCAAAACTTGGGTTACCGTTGGGTCTTATATACATAAAAATACACAGATACAAGCCTTCGTTCCGTCTCAACAATGTAAAGCCGAAACTTCAAGTAATAACTGCGTTTAACTCGCTAATAACAATGCTGTACCATACGGATGGGGTTTTGCGGTGAACAACGATCTTCAACGACGTACACGACAAACACTCGGAACAGCCCGAAGAGTCTGAGTCGAAATTGATGTTCGACATTAACGTGTAAGAGGCATACGAAAATGTTGGGATTTATCAGGGGGGGACTCTTGTAAGATTTTCATTGTTACTCCATGTCTTAGTAATTGTTCCTCCGTCCCGTAGCCGCCCCAGCTTCTACCAACCCCAGCCTCAGCCAACTTCTTCTCGCCAGGATCGATGCTCCTCGCCGTAGCGTTTACGGATCGTCTGAAAAATAATAATAATGTGGCTGTGGTTACCCCTGGCAAATAATTGCGGTGTATTAACGGGTTTCCCATATCGTTTTTGAGAATCTCTCAATGTCGAGGTCGTGCAGTGTGTGTTACATGATATGTACACGTATGCAATGAACGAGCGGGATAATTTGTAATGCACTCGTTGCACCGACCTAACGATAACCGAGCCAGCATCTTATATGGGCCTGGGCTCTGGAACGGTTTAAAAGAAAAAAAATAGAGTCTCGGGCAGATAGAAAAATTGCCAAAATTGCATGGCTGCCATTTTAAGTGAAGTACCTGACCCTTTGGTTATGGGGGAGAATCGTGGGTAACGACTTTACGTAATAATTCATTCAAACGAGTTTTATTGGCCCTGATCAATAATGGCTGATTTTAATTGATTATATATATATATATGTGTGTGTGTATATATGTATAAGCGATTGACTTTACTATAGCTAATTACGTCTCATTTGTCTATATGCCGTATGTCCGTCTTCGGGTAGCTTTATGTCCGTATCAGGCACAATGTGAATTGTCTGTCGTGTCACGATGAGATAATAAATTTTATTGTGGCAATTACGAGGACCCGCTATACCCGATCGACGTTATGGACATCTTTTCGCAGAAATATAGCAGCCAGAGAGAAATCTTAGAAAAGCCAAAGTACCATACCCGGCAGTCATTCGAGTCGCTGACCTTAATGCACGAATGATCGAGGTCCCCTGGACGTACCTACGAAAGCAGGCGTCTTGCGTACTTGCTGTGGAATCCCCAGGTATACCAAAGTGTCCGGACTGTCTCTCGGCTTTAACTAATGGGAATTGCTTTTACCTATAAGGAGGTTATAGACTGCTTTTGACCTTAGGTCAATATATATATATAAGGTACCTTTGAAAAACCGAGGATGAATGAAGATAGTAACTAGTGTTTGGAGCACTCGTGTACTTGTCAGTGGTTGATCTTGACGTGTCGATAAAAAAGGCCTCCTCCTTACCGACGATCAAGGAGTCACGGAGGGATATTTCCTACTGACCCCACGTGTCACGCAGATTTTGCCAAATGACGTGATCCCATGATTCGAGAACACGAGTCACACTGCGTTGAGGATCACTCTTTTTTCTCGTTCCTGCGGGAAACAGGACCTGACGATATACTCCGAGCCGAGTCGCTGGAGCGAAACTTGCATGTGAACATTTCACGTGAGTCATACAGAATATTCTGACCGCTGTACGGTTCGTAGCGTTTGCCACGTATATTTTTCTAACTCTCTTTTATTTTTTTTTCCAGTTCGTTCTCCGATTAACGTACCTGATGGAGATCCAGGCACTCGCGTCGACGTACTAGTTATTTTTCTTTAGTTTTTCATTTTTCTCTCGTACTTTTATCATTGCACTATTTTGGCTTCGCTTCTATTCGTACGATTGGTCGCTACAGAGTCGCCATCTTTGTAGTTACGGGGAAGCCTGTGGGACTCGAGGGAGTACGTGAGTTATATATATATTTGTCCTATATATTGTGGTACGATGGGCCCTAGTAACTATTTGAGAATTCAAAAAATCCCGAGGGTATATATTCCTGGTATATAGAGAGATAATATCACTGGTTAGACCGACTGTACATAGTTTAGCGCGTTATCCGCATGCTGTATTAATCATCAATGCCTATCCGGTCCATGGATGCTGAGATCATCGAAAATCATTGCTACGTTATTTTTCGCGAATTCACGAACGATTCGGGGATCATCAGTTGCGTCATTCGCGTCGAATTTGAAGATAGCAAAATCATGGTCGAATCACGCAACAGACACTTCACTCGTTAAGAATTTCTATATGGATACGTATTTGCATTGCTCGTGTATCAAAACAAGTTTTATTCTATGGGAATATTATTTTTATCTATGATTAGCAGGGATACTGTATTATAAGTTGTGATACTGTAACGTTATATTGTATCCATATGTATGTCTTTTTTTTCTTATCTGACAGCACGTGAAAGGGCACGTGGTTTTATTGTCAATCCCGTGACGGGGTTTGCGTATTCGCGACATTTAATGGTCTTGGGACATAAATTCACAATTTTTCGTGCCATTTGAAGGGTACGATATTATCATTTAGAAATGTCTATTTTCTGAAAAATTATTATTCTCTATTTTTATTTTTATACAGATTTTAAAAAGGCATGAGCGAGCGAGATTATCGAAATTTGATATCTACAATATTAATAAGGAATTTTCGAAATTCATCTATCTCGATATTACCGTTTGAGTCTTAAGGCTAATCATAAAAATTAGTTATCGATGACAATTCTTTGAACGGCAACGACACATGCGATACACAGTAACACTATTAAACCGAATCTCCATTGCTATCGACCTGAGTTTTTATCTTGTTATTAATATTATCTGCGAGGATAGATAAATAATATTCTTAATAAGAAGACTGGAGTTTCCGTTTGAAATACGCGGAAGCCGGACCCGTTAAAAATCCCTTATCCAAGAGAAGCTAATTAAATCAGATCATTCCGCGATAAGGAAGAGCACGGTTACCCGCCGGAAATAAATAAATCCCATGGTTCCCAGGCTTAATTTCTGCTTTGATAACGGTCCCCCGTTGACTGTAGACAACATCCCGTGAGATCCTTGACTTTCGTCCAATGGTTGGTCGCTCGGATTCTACGATTCTAATCCAGGTGACGTACGAACGTTAGTCGGGTAGAAAAAAAAAAAGATAAGAAAGAAAAAAACGTATAATCAAAATTTTGCAAGCATCCCGCATAATGAGATATTCTAATGGCACCAAGCGCATCTAAACGTATCCCGTGCAATTAAACTGTTTTACATGCCAAATCGTTCGGGTGCACTTATTTTGGTAACCTCGCGCCAAGGTTCAGCCTACGACAATCATCGTATTTTCTGCTCGTTAACCGCTCTGGCATCGGCGGTTAACACGTTACGTGACAGCAGACAGAAATTATGGGAATTAAGGATGAAGGGTGTCGTTCCTTGCAATCCTTACGGGTAATTCGAGAGGAGACGAAGAAACGGAAATTTTATTAACCTAAAAAATGTCTAATGCCCAGGACAGACTTTGTAATCCTAAATTAAGATTATCGTGGCGTAACTTAAAATAGTCCTGCGCGTCCCGTTATACCTTTCCCGAGGATTATCGATGGGCAAAGCAACGGTTAAGCCTTCTTGCGGAATTTGAAATTCAAATTACCCGCCGGCAATTGCATTTCCCGGTAGAGGCACCGCTCTGGGTCTGGTATGGCGCTGCGCTACGGCATAGACTAAACGGACGCTATAGAGGCTCGACTCTCCGTGCGGCGTAGCCGAAAGTTATTATACCACGCTGGCTTACTGTACCGGCGCTCATTATCATTATTGCGTAAGAGGGACAACAGACAAAATGATCTGTCAATAAATTCAACTCACTTTCGGCAAATACACTGGAGCTAGGCCCACGAGAGCTTCTATTTATATATTACTTAGCGATCTTGTGTATTTAAGAACACATACGAACACACGTGTCCTCGTGTGGGTAAATCTTGTTCCACTGTATGCTTTATGTAATCTCGTACACGTATCACGTACGTTCGCGTATCCTTAATACCGTAATAACGTATAATCGTGTCCTCATTGATTATTTTATTTATGCGTAATTCCAAAATAACAGATATAGGTATGTAGGCGGATATATGTTTTCTGAAATTTATTCATCGAATAGCCGTATGAATAAGCACCGTGCGAATTACATACGAATATGGGAATTCGTGAATGCGTGTCTAGACGCAATACAGGAAAGGCGTGATGGTAACAGGTGTATTCTGATATCTATATATAGTGATTACAGAATATCGTTAATAGATTCGATAAATCGATTTGTTTTCTCGTCAAAGCCCACGAGGCCGTTGGAAATCGGCCATAAGGATTCAGCTTGAATGATTTAACGACGCTATCTCGTTTAGTAATATTTTTTTTTGCATTAGCGTCTTGTGTAAATTAATAAGTCCTAATTATTACCTGTTTCAAAGTCGCGACATCGTATGGGCATGTATATATCTTTTCGTGATGTGCTTAGGATGTTTTCATAAAAATTGTAATTGCTACAAGGTGAAAGAATCGTGTTGGGAAATGATTATCGAGTGTCAATAATTGCTAAGCTTTATTTGGAGTCACTAATTCTGCTAATCAAATTCGTGAAAAAAAAAGGTGTTAGTTCAAACAGTGATGAATTATGATGGCATCTTTGGTCTTGTCATTTTTATATGTATTTTTCAAGGAATCGATCCTCGATGATCGTCTCGATACGCCGTCGTGAAATTCGTTACTCAACTTGCACTGGTGCGTAAATGACATCAGAATAAATGACAAGTGGTTGGTTTTTATTGCGATTTTATCCTGGCCATTGGCACCGTGTCGCTCGAACCGTGACTGATGCTGTCCTTACGAGGAATTCCAAGATTTAGCCAAAAATCGGGGGAACGACTGTTAAAGCGAATCAGTGGATTATTAACAGGAAATAAGGTAAATGAATTTATATAGTGCAGTACGCGTTTCGATTATTTCTAAGTAACATACACCTTGTATAGTCATTTTTAGTTAATAATTTTTAACAAAATTTATTAATACATTTTATATCCCATATCCGGTCGATCGAGAATTCAAACAGCTTCTAGGTTCGCGCCAAATTTTTCACAAACACTTCACGTCATTTAGTACTATAGAATAGTCGTGTATACCAAAGTCAGTTACAATTGTAAAGTTTCCAGCAGTTGGACATCCTGCAACGAGTATAAATAGTTCTGGACGCCCGAGGCGTTTCCCAAGCAGATTAGAAACGTTTCTTCTTGAATCTGACTGTGATACACTTATTTATTTAACTCTCGAGCTACGTCACTTCCGGTTCTGCAAGATAAACTCGGTAACGGTAAATTTTTGACAGTTCACACGATCAAGGCGATACTGTCGGAAGCTTTCTGTGGTCCTTGATAATCGAATAGGAAAGGATAATTTTGAATTTTTCGTTACTGTTAATTAAATTATCAGTTTATATAGGTAATATCGCGAGATAAACACATGGAAATGAATATTTGAACGGAAGTTGATCTTATTGGACGGAAGTGAGGGGCGGCCATGACAGTGTTTATATATAATAACAATAATATATTGCAGAGCACGAATCGCCAGCCGTGAAGCTGTCACGTAGCTTCGTCAAGCCGATGGACAGTAGCTTTAGAGGAGGATGAATTAATCTAAAAAGATTGGGTATTAAAAAAACGGTGGGAACGAAGTAAAAAATAAAACGAAGAACAATGTCCTAATCGAATTCTCGGATATAAAGGAAAACGACAGATTCCAGGACAAACCGCACCGAAATCGGTAATTAATTGATTACTTCCAAATTGGCTAGCGATTCTCTGAAACTCATTCTCTCGAAGGCTTCTTTAAACCTTTAGTTTTATTTGCACCCAACCTCCTTCTCTGGCGGTTTTCTTTCTCTTCGGTTAATTCGTACTTACACTTCGTCACGGCTTTATAGGTTAGAACAAGGGCTGTTTACTCACGTTTCGACAATCTTGTTCCTCGAGAAGTGTTCCTTGTCGTGTCTTGTATTATTGGAATCCTAACCTATAATACTTCTACTGATTTTTTACATTTCTTTTTCAGACTGGTGTACAAAGTGCTTTTGGTATAGACTCATTTAATTTTATATATCGCACCGACGTGCTCCTTTATGAAAATGATGGAAAATGGCTGACGAAAATTTTGCTTTCTAGTATACACAGATCGAGACTCGGAGGTCGTTAACCATTATCCTGACACTGGGATCGGTTACCGGCCATAAGTAAGCTCACTATGTATTTTGCCGATATAAATTCCGTGACGCCACCATACCTGTTCAGGTTCAATAATCTCAGTATTGGAGTTGGGATTCACAATTAATGAATTTCCGTAATGGACGCCGGGCAAGTTTCCCAATTGGTATCTGGTAACTGGACGTTTCGGTAATTAGCCATTATCCTGGCGGGTAATGCAGGTATGTATCGATAAATAGACGGACAGGCTTCAGGCTACGGATGCTAAGAGAACAAACAATAAGCAGAAGTGTATTTGGGGATAAGAAAGAGCTATTAAAAATAAATGATACCGATTCTCTATGGGGGCTGTGTGTGTTTTTATCTGTATCCACAATTTCTAGTGTCTGCGCCAGCTTGGGAAGGTTCAACAATCTCTTAAACATCACTAGGAATCCACAATTAATGGATTTCACGGCTGTCGCGATACCAGATCACCTCGTGGTGTCAAATCTGGCGGACCCCGCCGAGCAGATCGGGCCCCACAGCTGTGACAGTCATGAGAGAGAAGGAATAGTAAGTCCCACGAGAAATGAAAAACCTAAAAGGAAAAAGAAAAAAAATAAAGAAAATAAAATATAAATTTGAACTGATTTTAACCAGAATAATTTTTTACCAAATTTCCTGTTTGGTAAATATTCATTATTCACTATCAAAGGATAATTTTGGTTTCGTGTGATAAATTAAATTTCCCACCTTTTTTTCTTTTCCTTTCCTCAATCGGCACATGCGCAGTGAACTAGTGTCGAATAGCACGATCAGGCGGATAAGCCAAAGTGCTTCCTGCTTGTTCTTTTCTTTTTTTTTTTAAGAACGCTTCAGTCGATTTATTTTTCTTACGAGTCTCGCTTCTTGCTCTTCTACTTCTGCTACTCATTCTTTGGTCTCTTTTACTTCTTCCTTCTTCTCTTCCACGTCCCCTCCGCTTGCCCCTTATCTGTCTTACAGTCTTCTCGCCTCATGAAAAAGGAATGTTGTTAGCGAGAATTCCGAAGTTTCATGGAAACAAAAAAAAACTATTCAGAGTGACAACGTCGGTGTCTTTAACCTTTGAAATCTCAAAGGATTCGCAAATAATAGTGACGTTTCGTTTAAACAGTCATTTTAAGAATGAATAGGGTCATCAACTCAGGAATTTACTAGAGCGCATCGTCTTGCTGATAAACGTATTTCTCTTTATAGAATTTCCAACGTGCAGGATGATTTGTGATTTATTTAACGGAAGGATAATAATCCACGATGGAAGGAATTTGATAAGGATCAGACCCTGAGGCATAATTGGAGATAGCATAAAGAGAATAATGAGACGATATTCAATATAGCTACGACCAAGGACGAAAATCACGTTAATCCTTGTTGAGGCAGAGTAAAGCTACAGACTTCCTCTATAAGGAGTACCGTATTGATGTTCTTGAAACTATTATAATTTTTCTTTTTTACGTTATTCTACAAATATCGATGATCCTTCCGTTCGTGGAGAAATTGCCTGGGAACGATGAATCCAGTTTGCTAATTTTTAATTTTATACTTACTTATCAACTCCCAGTCGATAATATATTTCTAAAGGATCAGGATGATTTAAACTCTCGGCTTTGGAGTCAATACTCCTTGTAACGACACCGTGTGAAATTTGCATTTAAAGCTGCCCAAACTTTGTCAGAAACAATAATATGCATATAAGAGTCTGTCGAGGAACCGGTTTTCCGAGTCTTTGCAGAAGGATGAGAATCTCGATGGCAATGATCCAGTGGTCAGATCGGAAATCCTTTTCAGTATCTTGAGAAACCAGGAGCGGAAGTTCCTGCAAGAGATCCATCGTCGATCCACCTCGTAGACGATAACCAAGGCTAGATCCAGACTGAAGATCCTCCATTCTTAAAAATACATCCTCCAGGTCGCTGCAAAGTCGCCCAAGACGATCAATGGTAAAAGTGGGAAAGAAGTCATATCCTTGTCTTGCATATTGGCGTGTACAGGAAAAAATCCAAAAAGTCTGATGACTGGCCAATGACGTTTCTAAAAAGGAAAAAAAAAGTTACGTAGAAACAAAAAACCAATTAATCATTACCTGATAAAAACAATTAGTGGATCCCTCCAGCAGGCCTCATCAACCATCATTTAATCATCTCTATCAATTATCACCTAATTACCAAGTCAAACTAAAGAAACAACAGACCTTCGACCTATACAGAAACTTTCCCTTTCAAACTATTAAATATCATTAGATCATTGCGCCATTAAGAAGATTAACAGATCTGCTCACTGAATCTATCAAAATATACCAATAGTCATTAGACGCTCAATAGAATACCCTAAAAAGTCATAAACGTCAAATAATCATCAGGATGCTGGCAAAGTCCTCTAATCTTTTTCCGGCTGACCTCAGCCGTCCGTATCCACTGACATAAAGTTGCCTGAGACTAGGATCACGAATCCATCCCTATCTGTACCTATGACAATGACCTGTCACCTATAATGAAGCGATCGATAATTCATATTCCACGTGCGAACTCATACGCTATGGGTTTTTACTCCTTTACAATCCATAGGTTAACAGACTTTAACTACAGTGCTTCGACATACAATGTACTGTGCTTATCCAGGTTACACTACACGCTATATACATAGGTTATCCTAACTCACAGTTGAGGCTAGGTCGAGGAGCGTCAGCTAGTTAGTTAGGGGGCACATTTATACGCAATGAATTAGCTGCTATGGTTAGACGTATAAGGGAGGACAGGTCGCCCACGCCATGTTGCAGCAGCTGGTATCCTGGCTTGCCGTGCTTAGGATCTTTTCTTGGTCCTTCTTCCGGGGCACGACGTCCTGAGATCCTGGTGACCGTAACGATTATCCATTCGCGCCGTAACCGGTCATTTCCAGCCTGGTACCAGGATACGTGGCAATGGCTTGTTGGTTTTTGTTAATTCTGAAAAACAAAAAAAATTAATTATTACCAATTACCAACATTACCAACATTCATTTTAATTTACGTTTAAATAATACCGGTCGATCGATCGTCAATGATTGAAAATTAACGGGGAAAGAAAAATGGCAAATAAATCAGTATTACCACTAATAGCCTAGGAAGTATCGATGGAATACATTATGCTCGTGGTAGCCATTAGTGATCGGGGACACAACGAATGTACAGTGGCGTATTTACGAATGGATCCGTTGACAGAGACAACATTAGCCAAAGATTAATCAATAATTCTGGCAAAACGGTGTCTTCTGGATGGTTGCTGAGTCGAGGAATTCTCAAGGTCGTATTGAGTCTATCGCCCATGACGCTATATACCGCATACTCGCCGTGACCTATGACCTGTACTATACACACACGTATGCAATTCCATGTCCGTATTACGTATCGACTACTATGGCGTCGGCACGATATTGCCTTTTTATTATTCACCTGGTCGGATGGTATGGGGCCTCATATGGATGAACAGGTGTTCGCCATGTATTACATCTTCAATGATTATCCTGCGAAGGGCATATTCGATCTAATAGCTATCGTGACGTCGTCTTAAAGGATTCTTTTTTTTTCTCTTTTTTTTTTTAGAATCATTTACCGAATCGAGCGACATTATCCTTCGGTCAGTTTATTGATGGGCACATGTGGATGGAATTTGTTGGCACGATTGTCGTGTTAATCTTTATTAGGTCAATGTGTGACTTAATGACTTTACACAGGTGTCTATGATCTTGTGTTATTTTTACATTGTCTATATACGTATATGTGTATTAATAAATAATACGGAATAATGCAGTCTCAGAATGCAACGTTCTTCTTTTGCATCCTTGCAAGGACGCTACCTCGACTGTATTCGCTATCCTCGTGATTCTACCGAGCTGACCGTAATTAGCCTCTTCGCCGAGACTAATTACGCATAATCGTTACTAATCGAGCCCAGAAGCCATTGCGCTAACGTCCTCACTTTATTATAACCGTATTGTAAACGTGACGTGACAAAAGCATCGTTTAGCCTTTCCTAATGAAATTTTCATTTTTATACAGGATTGTTAATATATTTAAATTCATAATGTATATTTTGTATGCGATTGTTATTATTATTTTTCTTCTGAAATAATTATCCGCGCAGATTTTTAAAATGTCCTTTATCGATTGCGTGTCTTCGATTCTGAGATCTTTCGAACAGGTGGCTGTGACCTCGAGGATGAGGTACGTTGGTAAATCAAGAGAGGTCAAATCTTCGGGAGCCACTGGAGGAGACGGGAGGAAAAGAGGAATGGAGATGAAAAAAAAATGGCGAATAAAAGGTAAGGTCAAACTTCCGCCTAAGATCCATGAACTCTGTACGATCATGTCCAAGATGGCTCATCTTCGCTACTGGACCTTCGGCACTTTCATCATCGACCAGTCAGGATGCTGGACGTTCACTCTCGATTTCATCTGGAACTGGTATACGATCGATGAAATGGTTAGAGAAATTCATTCTTGCTGAAGATTCGTTTAAATTGTTATGATTATACATTCAAATAATTCGTGTGCTGGTACAGTTTTTTTTTAAAATCGTGTGTATGTATAATGGACCAAAAATCATTCGGTCCGATGACCGAATCGGCTAAAGATTGTTATGTAATTTCTATACTGACTACCGTAGCCCGGGGCCAGGTCATTCTTCATAGAAATCGTCATGGCGAACCCACCGGAAGTGAACTTGGCAAACATAAGCGAACGATGATTACGTATTAATTTTTGTTTGCAGTTATCGTTGAATTATTAATTGATAAAAACAATTTAGGATAAATTTGATAATTTGTCGTTAGCCAACGAACTAATGAAAAATATAATATTCATTTTATCGCTAATATACTTGGATTCTTTATATATACTATGAACTAATAACATCGTCCCGTGGAAAAAATTTTGCGGAATTTTTTATTCCTCAAGGTCACCCTCAAAATTAACTTTGAAATATAACTATTTGATCATCCTACGAAATTATCGACGTCATAAATACTGAATTTTGAAAATACGCACCGAAAACGATGTTCCTCATAGACATGTTCGTAGTACCGATACCTGACAATCATGCTTAATGATGAATAATTTTATGAATTTCATTAGACATGCGAAAAACATATATATGTATATATGCAAATACATGGATATATGTATTAGAAGTCAAAATTTTGTTATTCAAGTAAAGTAAAAATAATAAATATATGAAATTCCGGAATTTTACTAGATTCCGTGAGATTTAGAGATAAATAAATTTTAATGAGATGTTTGCTCGATAAAGAAAAATTTTCATATTTATCACGTTTTATAACAAAGACATTTCTCTACGACGACAAAGAATTGCAGGCAGTATCTCCGTGTATCGAATGCACGGTAAAATCCTTTCCGATGGGACTTACGTGTTACGGTACTTTGGAATTTTTTTTGGGCCTTATACCCAAGTACACAAGTACCTGTATAGTATACACGTGTATCCATACATATAGCCACATCACAAAAGACCCGCATACAAGATTCTTCTATATGGCATTGCATGTTCGCAGACACTTCAGGATCTCATAATTCCCGCATAACCTGTAGACTCTCGTGACCTCGACGTGGCAGCATCCCGTTGCACCTAGTGGATGAGGATAAGGATGACTGACGGAATATCTTCTGGTATCCCTCATAGAGTCCGAACCGTCATTTAAATCCATTCGTGTAACACGTTAACCGTACAAACTGACTGCCACTTCGCATACCAGGAATCCCTTGGCTTCTGCGAATAACTGGCAATTCTAGGTCGAGAACTTGAAGGGTACAACTATATACTATAGCAATGTACTATAGACGATATATAGCGAGAGGAAAAGTTGACTATAGTCACTGTATGATATACTGGTGAATTGCGGGATACAGCAATGCTACCAGTGCAGCTGCGGTACTTTAATGGTACCATTTGCAGTTGCACCTGCAAAGTGGCAGGTTTTAGTATCTAAATTAAAAATTTTTTTTTACTACATTTTCATTTTTTTTATCCAAAAAGTACTACCCGTGCAGCTGTGGTACCTTAATGGTACCATTTGCAGTTGCACCTGCAAAGTGGCAGGTTCTAGTATCTAAATTTTTGAATTTTGTTGTACTACATTTTCATTTTTTTTTATCCAAAAAGTGCTACCAGTTCAGCTGGTTAGCAGTTGCAACTGCATGATACTGGTATTATAGATTTTAGAATTATTTATTATTTTTTTATTTTTGTATTTGAACTTTTTTGCTTGTACGCGACCGATTCCACCATGGAGATTTCTGCCTTTGTTGGCGAGTAATGATACTAGATCTCAGATAATTTAACAATGTTCTCATTATTCCGCTATTCCGCGAATAACGACTGGCTATCGGTACTACGGAAATACCTGGATCGGGACTCGACAGCTAACCGATGCTATTCGAGAAATTGCACGTGAATTCTCTTAGTCACGATACCTGACCAATTAATGTGATGACTTTAAGTAGTGCCTATGTGCATATCGTGTAAAAGTAGACGCGTGCGTGTCATATATGTGAATCGATATTACAATCATAATTATCAGATCCATATAAGGCTGGAATGATGATTCTATGATATTTTGATTAATAAATCCGAGGTAATTAATCCTGAAAGAAAATTCTATGCTTCTTTCCTTCAGTGAAAGTATCGAGGTTACTGAGCACGTATGTCCCATGTGTAATAAGTTACACACGTGTTTATAACGCACGAGAAGATAGATGAGGCTGATGCTTAATTACCCAGTATAAGTCATAGAAAATGGAGTTTGATCAACCTTGACGAAGCCCGAGTAGTGAGGTTTGTTAAGAAGAGAAGAGATTCCAATTCTTTGATATAAAAATATTTTTTTAATCAATCTTGACTTTCTTCGAGAACTTTCGGTCTGAAATTTATTCGATCAGATAAAAATATAAGAACTTATCTATCGAATCTGATTCCTTCCATTGCCATACATATCTTATCGACACTCTCTGCTTAGTAATATTGAGACAGAATAATTACGTCATAGCTATAATTATACCTTGCGTCCTTCGAAATGCGTAGTATCATCAAATTCTACGAAGACGCAATATAGTTATAACTGATCAGTGACGTATCAATGATTATAAGATTAATTATAATAACAGTTTCTATCAATTATTTATCAGATTACATCATGGATAAATACTTATATATATTAAGAATTTTAAGATTGCCTGTTTCACCCTATAGATTTTTTTTTTTAGAAATACCAAGAATTCCCTGTTGGTTCTAGGGAATTTTATTTTACATGGGTATATAATTAGAGAAAGAAGCAATTAACTTTTTTTTCTTCTCTCGTTTCCCCTTATCCAATTTTCACTCTCTTTCTCTCGCACGTAAATTCAAAATTTATAGTCTACCAACATTCGCAACACCTTAAGCCACCCGTTAGACGGTGACGCCCCAGGCGTTAATTCTCCCGTCGACTAGCAACCCAGTAACCACGCAATAAGGAACAAGCGAGGGAAAAAGGGAGCAATCCAGGAGATTCAATTTGCAGGCGAATTTTTCGTGGCAATCACTTCGAAGAGCGAGCGTTAATCTGGTCGAGGGCTGAGTAGTTGATAGTGGGGTATTTTCAGGCCAATCCAGAGCGTGGACGGGACCTCCAGGCGTGAGTCAGGAATCCTGCATGCGATCACCTTATACTAGTTATTGCTGATGATACTCTTTATATACCAGCGATGCTGATCGACTTGATATAGAAATACATACACTCACTTTATCCTAATATCAAGTGACAATACTATGGTAATACTGATTAACCTTACTGTGCATCAAGATTTTTGTACCCCCAATAAAAAAATATGGTATGGACACGTACCTGTGTCCAGCATGTCTTCAGAATGAGAAAAACATTTTTCATTAAGTATCAGAGATTGTGAATATTATGATAGTAAGTATCCACATATCGTACTTGACATATGCAATGCGGTTGTTGGTCTTAGGAATTGGTATGGTCACGAAAAAAGGTATGAGAATCAAAGCGAAACGGGTAGTCCAAGACAGGTATAAAGAAACGACTTTTTCCAGGATCAACTTTTAGCCGGTATACCAAACTTCCTTGTAACGGCTAATTGAAACAAGCTTCAGTGCGTCGCGGTAAGAAAAGAAGGTCAACGAAAACGTCACGACGATACTGCTGAGCGACGGATTAAACGGCACGAAGAAAAGCTGCTTGTCGCGAGATGCACGCACTCGTTGTCTCTATAAATTTCACGAGCGGGATCCGCCATCTTGTTACTGGAGAATTTGGCGCTGCCGTAGTGGCAGACGTGATACGTTCGCTGCTTCCGCAAATTCTCAGCTGACACTGAGAACGACAGTACCAATGGTCCGGATGGTCCGATCGCATAATGACGCCCGGTTTTTGCCGTAACGAGAATGCTGCGTGTTCGCCCACGGATAAAAAGTGCATTTATCCGCGAGTGGTATGCAACGTCAAACTTATGTGGCGCCAGAAAATCGAAGCGTCCCTTTTTCAAGGCGCGCGACGGGAGTTCCGTAGGCGCGAATTCTCTCGGGGGTTATATGTATCCATAGGTATCTCTGCATCTCACGAAGAGGATGCTGTAAGTACCATAAACCCAAAGGTCCTAAATCGTAAAAGTTATATAAGTATAGGGATCCCTTTTACGAGCCCCTATCGATATACCTTCGAAATGTAAAATTATGCTAATGTACTCAAGTGCTGCCATCTACGATTTCAATGGACAACTCGGAATGATTTCGGCGAACTTTAAAATGCTCCCTCCCGTAGGGACTCTTGGAATTGTTTAGTGCGGTCGACAATACTGACACGCCATGGGTAACCTAACCTCGGCGTAACCTCAACCGTGATCGTACAACAGCTTCCCTTTACTCGCGTCTCCGATTGAGGATTCTTACCGATCCTTAGATGCCGGGCTAATTGCATGCCGATAACTTGGAATGCACATTGTTCGGGGAAGGAAGTCGCACGCGTTCGGAAGTGAGTGGAATGCGCACGAGGAATACCAGCCGCGTGTTCAATTTTCTCATAATAGGAACAACGGGAGTCCATTAACTGCGAGGTACATAAATGTATTTATTTACTACACCGTAATATCGGAATACTCTCTGGCTTAGCAATTCTTTGGCATTCGGAAGTATTAACCGGCAAAGATTCCATTGTGCGAACGACCTTTTACTAATTCCAGATGTAACTTGGAAATCGCAATTATATTCTTTGTTCATCGTGCCGAGCTGCCATTAGCATTAGCGTAGGTTATAAAGTCAGTGAAGTTGGCGAGCGTTGCTCGAGAAATCGTAAAGATAAAAGGACTGATCCCCATAAACGTAATTTCTATCATCGTCGTGAAATTATTTGACGTGTCATTGAACCAATGGAGTTGTGTATTACCTCGAAACGGTATATCAGAATGGTAAGATTTCAGGGATCCGGCAATGATAATTCTTTTTATTAGATACAATAATAAAATATTGATGACATTATCGGGCGAAAAAGTGCGAATTAAGATATCCCTTGACACGGTTATGTTAAACGAAAAATAAAATGGCGACGAGTGTTTGAGTTAAACAGTCTCGGGGACCCTGGCCCACATGCCTTCTCAAATATTGAACCTGCTCCGCGTACTCTTTGGCCCAAGAACCTGCATCGCTACGTGCTTCTTGGATCATATGCTGACATTTGCAATTTCTAATTTTTTCTTTCTCCATCGGTTTCTCAATGTCCCTCTAGTCAAATTCGCGAATCAGCAATAATTTCATCATTGCCACAAATATCATCTCCCAGAAAATCCGCTACTGCCGTTCAAGGTAAATAACATAGAAACGCGATAACTACCGGAAGTCCAAACAACGTGCCTAACCGTTCAACCATCTTACTCGATGCTCCGTTAAACTTGGACCCTTTACGCTTTTCGCGGTATTAATATGGTCCATAAGTGTTTTCGCGGTACCATTGGAGCTTCCAATATTAGCCCCCCGGCCAAGTCCCTTACACAGGCTTATTAATGGCAACGAGCGGGTTTGAGAATTTAATGAAGCGCAAAGTGGCGAGAAGTAAGTACGAAAAAAAATGTTTTTAAATAAAATTAAAAGGTCATCACTGTTGTAAATTTTTTTTATCGTATGTCCAACATACTTAATCCAAATTTCTGACCTATACTGTACCCTTATGAAATATTCTTACGAAGGTTCATTAACCTTGCATATTGGTAGCACGCTAATTTAATACCGTATGGATATTCCACGTACGTGGTTCTCTATTACGTACCACCTCCGCCCATCTTTTAACCAACGGATATTTTCCGTTGCGTGCATCCACCGTACGGATGATAGATGGTTGGAATTACGCTCGAAGGCTGCCATGAAAGTGACGAAATAGGCCATTGACATTAGGGCCTGAGTACGTTTGCGTTTCCTTTATGTGGAAATAAAGAATGCCGAGTTTCGGCTTCGTCGAAACGAAATGCCCGAGTCTGTGTGCTTACGTGGAGGAAAGAGAAAAACAAATGAAGCAGTAAAAGTGCACGAACGAGAGGAAGAAGAAGAAGAAAAAGAAGGAGGAGGAGGAAGAGGAAGAAGAGAAAGAAGAATGAGAATCGGTCGCGAAGCCTGAGAAAAAAGAAGATACAAAAGAAAGGATATAAAGAGAAGGTTCGAAGGCAAGACAGAAAGAAAAAAGGAGAGAGAGAGACAGAGAGAGAAAACTGTAAGAAAACCAACAAGGTACCCATCCCACATTAAGATACCTATTAAGGATCCTCTTTAATTATCATTAGTACAGAAAAGCACATGCTTCCGGTTAATTAAATTGTACCGTATTAGTTTCAAAAACACGGAAGTAGTGGTCCACCCCACTTCTTCTTGTCAAGTAATATAGTTTTTGAAAATTTTGAAAATTTTATTTTCCAAAAAAGCTGATCTCCACATTTTATTTTTTTTTTTAAAGAATAAGACATTTTTTTCGATTCGAATGATGCAATTAGAAGAGGAAAATTTGTAAGCTTTTTTTTTCTTTTTCTTTTCAATCTTCACGAACCAAAGCGGGGTCAATACTCGGTCGCGCTTCAGAGCACTGAGCATCTTTTCAGGAGTAAAAATTTATGAACGGAATCGCGCTCAGCCAGGACTTCCGCTCGTATCGGTTAATGACGATTGAAATGGAATTTTTTGAAATTTTCTCAAAAAATAAGACTTTTAGATCAGAATAGTAAAGCTGCGTAACTGGACCCAATGTATCCTTACTTACTGTACTTTAGTATTTTGTATTGGTATTGCTGAGTAGTGGCTATAATGAAAATCAAAAGTGCCCATTGAGAAACGTGTAAATTCGTGATAATGGTGGTCGACAGGCATGAATCAGTGATCGCAGTGCCAAAGTTTATTCCAGGCACGTTTAGTATCCTGGACTGTGAAGTCAGTAAGCCAGGAAGATCTTGCAAGATGGAATATCGACTTTTCCACACTACTCGAATATCCGAGTATACTCGGGCATTCAGACCATTCAGAATTCAGCAACGACCCAACCACGTGTCACTAGATCTGTGAATTCGGTGCGTCTTTGGCATAACGAAATATCTGCCGCAAACAAGTATTCGTGCTTGACTTCAGGTTGTATGTCAGAGTTTTTATTTTTCATAAATACACATTATAACAATCACTCTATATCACTGTAGTTCATTACTTGTAATACTTGATATTTTTTCTAGGGCCCTGCAATCAAGATGGAGGCTCTGATGGTGAAAAAAATGTCTAAATAATATTCCCATTCTACATATAGTTGGTAAACCTGTTTTACGTGGTTCAATAATATCTTTTATGGTTATGGTTCAGTTAGCTAGTAGTAAACTAACGAGCTAACCAGACAAGAGCTGCCACCGTCTTACGAACCACGTGTGCGAATCCCAGGTAAGAAAAAAAAATATGTCAGCCGAACGTAACCGAGCGTGGAATTGTCGAGTGGAAGAAATCAAGGGAAATCTGTCACCCCATATAACAGGTGAGTGATAAAACAATAATAAATAAAAACAAAAAGTATAAAGTTATAATAAAAAACTATCAACGACTCCATAATACAATAATTCTTTCTTCACAGATGCCTGTAGCTCCTAACCCTGGTGTAGAAGTCTCTGAAAGAAATGCATGGGTTCAATAGGTCACAGAGGTTGCTGTAACGCGAGACAGTTCTTTTCTAATAGTTATACAATAGAGGAGCCTTTCTATATTTTATAAAAAAAATTCTTCGTATCATTATGACAAGGTATAAGATAGAACAAATTTATCATGCAACGAGTATACATATGTTACAGCAAACACTTGTGCATGATAACTGTTAACAATAGCAATGATATATATATACTATAAAGATTGTCTATAGTACATATGAAGCAGGCATAGTTGATACTACCAGTTTATCCTAGTGCTACTAGGTTATCCCATAGGAAGAGGATCGCGGTAGCAAGGCGACGCAATCTGATCTTAGGACAACGGTTCGGAAGCATCGGTTGACAGTAAAATATCAGCAGGTACTACTCACTATACCAGAGATAGTATCACGGCAGGTAGGCAGAAGGCACCTACCATAGTACTGTTAGCCAGATGAATGATAACCATATCGCGATATGCGCGCTGATACAATGGAGAGTAAAGGAGAATGTATTGGTCAGGAACTGTTCAGAGATTCTGAAGTAGAACGCGTATTGGCTCGATAATTCAACAATGTCTAACCATCGCGTGAGGAGCATATTGGAAGTTACGTTGAATGCAGTATAGGTATGCATATCCTGAAAACTGATAATTTAGACAATAGTCTTGAATCCTGAGTTACTCGTCTGACCAGGTGCAGTAAGTACCTACTGATTCTGAGATATAAATTTTATTTCGCAGATGGTCCAAGCTGAGTTTGAAAAGTTTTCAAGAATTCCTAGTAACACCTTGGCTTGGTGCGAGAGCAAAGAGGTGCATTTCTATGAACGCGATTCGCATAGTTATCAGGTCACGTAAAGTCGCGACGTCTTAGCCGTGTCTGGAGTAGCGCTGCGTGTCGGGAGTCGTGAGTCTGGCCAGGACGTTCCTTTTCTACTTGGCTGGTGGTAAAGGGCTTCCAGGTTCATTGTCACACGTGTGAACTCGCCTTTGTTTACTCCTGCTGAACCCGAGGATCACGTATCTTCCGATCTGAACTGCGTCTCTCTTA